AGACAGCATATAAATGAAAACTGCATAATGTTATGAAGTAAAATGTTGATCTAGAAAGTGATGTCTGTGCAAGCTTTGGAGGTGTTGATGGAAGCGATTTACTGGATTTATGCTTTGATAATCGTACTGAATATTACCCAGATGTAGTTTTTGATAAAAATGTGATTCTCACCTTTTTGCTCAAAATTATGCATTTTTATGAAACCTACCTATATTCAAGTGTTGATAAAAAAAAAAGAATGCTTTAAGCTAGAATAAAACTGTTTTTTGTTTAAAAGTAGAGGCTCTGATCTTTATTTTGGTGTATTGCATATTCAAATATTCATACAGCAAAATATTCTGGAGGCTATCAATTTTTTGTGAAAATCATCAAAATCGCTGGCGGTGGCTGGCAACTTTTTTCAAAAATGCTGGCGGGGAAAGAGTCAAACATTTCCTTTAATATGAAATATAAAAAACTAAAATTAAAAATAATTTTTTTTCCCCCCATCCTTAACAGGAAACTAAAAAAGGGGTGCAGCAAAGCAACTGAAATCTCAGGCAGATCAAATGGAATTGGAATTGATATAAATCAAACAAATAATCTAAACAAAAGGAACAGCAGCAAAGAAAGTGAATGTAAAAAGCTGAATGAACTATTGTGCAGGGTCAGGGAGAAAGAGAAACATGCTAGAGTTAGACAGATGGTACAGCAGCATTCCTTACAAAAGTGCCAAATTAGATGACATTACCAATGGGATGAACGGAGAGAATTCCTTGATTATAGTCAAGAAAGAGCATTGACTTCTTATTAAGAATGAGGGGACTTTAAATGAAGAAAACTGGCTGTGAACAGCAGCAAATAGTTTTAATGGTACTACCTAACAAAACGCCTTGGAAGTACAGATGGAAAAGCTGCCGTATGCTAATTTGCACTAGCGCTATAGTGCCAAGCTCTATTGTGGTGTTCTCTGTGAGAGGTCTGGCCCTGGTTTGTGCATTAATAGAGAAAATGTCATGTCTGTTTTTTGGGTACATCTGATCCATGGACTCTACTCTGTTCTTTCGATTAGCTCACACTGTTTGTCTTTGCTCCTTTCTTACTCTTCCAGGAATCAGCCAAAGCAGATCCAAACATTTCCTCAAGCAACTGAATTATTGATTGGAAACATTTTATTATGAATGCTGGCACTAGTGCTTTGTACATTTGAACCTGGTGAAAAAGTCCAGAACATTGTGTGATCTCACCAATACTAACTAAACACATTAACCATGCCAACGATGAAACTGGGGGGGGGGAGAGATTAATCACTTGACTGACATATCTATTCTCATACTCCATTATCTTTAAATCTGTCCTGTGATAGCTCAATTCTATTCAAATTCATAATCTAAGAGAATTTTAGTCATTGATGACATTAAACTACACTACTGTTCCACAGTTTGGGTTCTGTAGGGTTTTTTAATGTTTTGAAAAAAAAATCTTATGCTCCCTAAGGCTGCATTTATTGATCAAAAGTACAGTACAGTATAAAAAAAGTTTACATTTAGCTTTTTTATTTGAATATATTTTAAAATGTAATTGTCACATGATGTTTCAGAAATCATTCTAATATGCTGATTTAGAGCTCAAAAACATTTCTTATTATTGTTGAAATCAGTTGTGCACCTTAATATTATTGTGGTGATATGAAACAGTGATACTTTTTTTTTTTGATGAACAGAAAGAAAGGAAAGTAATTTCTTTCCAAAAAGAATAATAGTGTATATTAAATCTTGAGTGAAACATCTTACCTCACTAATGAAGCCAAGCTGGACCAGTTCCACGGCCAACTCGTGTACATTCTCATCTAAAACACACAGAGAACACCATTCTTAAGTTTCAGCAATACTCCGTTGTTGCAATAAGTCAACATGCTGCTGGTGGAAAAGTGCCATATGTTAACAGTTCACTTTTCTATAGTCACAATTCTAATCTGAATCTGATGCACTTTAGAGAATCTGCATGTTTTTTTTAACACAATTATTTTATAATTCACAAATAAGAACAGAAACGAGAACATTAGACCAGAAACATATTACGCAGGTACACAAATTTGGTTGAATGCACATGGTCATTGTAAATTGCTTATTTTTTCATGTGGTGGTACAAACAGTTTGAACCTGGTGAAAAAGTCCAGAACATTGTGTGATCTCACCAATACTAACTAAACACATTAACCATGCCAACGATGAAACTGGGGGGGGGGAGAGATTAATCACTTGACTGACATATCTATTCTCATACTCCATTATCTTTAAATCTGTCCTGTGATAGCTCAATTCTATTCAAATTCATAATCTAAGAGAATTTTAGTCATTGATGACATTAAACTACACTACACTGTTGAAATCAGTTGTGCACCTTAATATTATTGTGGTGATATGAAACAGTGATACTTTTTTTTTTTGATGAACAGAAAGAAAGGAAAGTAATTTCTTTCCAAAAAGAATAATAGTGTATATTAAATCTTGAGTGAAACATCTTACCTCACTAATAAAGCCAAGCTGGACCAGTTCCACGGCCAACTCGTGTACATTCTCATCTAAAACACACAGAGAACACCATTCTTAAGTTTCAGCAATACTCCGTTGTTGCAATAAGTCAACATGCTGCTGGTGGAAAAGTGCCATATGTTAACAGTTCACTTTTCTATAGTCACAATTCTAATCTGAATCTGATGCACTTTAGAGAATCTGCATGTTTTTTTTAACACAATTATTTTATAATTCACAAATAAGAACAGAAACGAGAACATTAGACCAGAAACATATTACGCAGGTACACAAATTTGGTTGAATGCACATGGTCATTGTAAATTGCTTATTTTTTCATGTGGTGGTACAAACATCTGTGTTGGATTAAACCGGATGTGCATTCAGGTAGCTAGCTATAAACATGTTGACAGTTGAACTAACTCTGCAAGCTTCTTGATTCTGAGCAACTTGACTTGAAAGACAAAACCGTCTGTGCTGATGCCCATTATAGCTGTGTCTCTTGCAGCTGAGAATGCAACGCATACTTGTGCTTCATTCTGACACATTACAGAACACAACGGCATGTGAAATCAAGCTGTGTAGCTAGAAGTGTTTACATGCTTGTGTAGAGTGTGTTTGGGGCCTGATAAAGTACTCACTTGGTGCCAAATCACAACTCAAGTGTCGGTTCAGCTTATCTTCCAGTTTTAGCAGTAAGGTCAGCTATAAAAAGAGCAGAGAGGAGTTTTAAACACAGAATTATAATCTAAACTTCAGCGTCATTACAGCAATAAACAGGAAAAATCCTTACATGATGTTTTGCTCCTTCCTCCACAGGCTCGATGTTGCACTGCATTTGTACAACCTTAAAGGAGAAAGATTATCTTTAACACAAACATATGTTACTAAATGTCTGCCAATCCTGTTGACTTTGACTGTAACCACCTGTCTAGATTTGTCTGATCGACAGTGGGGGAAGGTAAGAAAACTGTGATTTATTCTTAATCATTGATAGTCGGTCACTGTCTCTTAAATCAGTCCATTTCTCACCTTCCTGGTCTCCAGCTCTGCAGGCTCAGGCGTAGGCGTTTTGACAGAGGGTGGCACGATGGGGGACTTGACAGCCTCTTGCTGAGGCTGCTGTGGGCAGGGCATGCCGAAGGCAGTCAGCGGATAGATCCCATTCCTACATCACGAGAACCAAGAGCACATGTTGATATTACATTTGTGCCTGTTTGAACATTGTGACTGCTTTCTTAACATTTGAATCTGGCCCAACTCCTTTCCTTCTTAAAAAAAAAATGTGATAAATTAGATGATTATTATTTTTTTTAGCTCACCTCACATCTTCAAGAAACTTGTCAAGCTCCAAAGCAGGAAACTGTGAGAGTCTGATGGGAAAAGAAGCCATTTAGGTGGCATGACAGCTTATTTGAAACCTAAAACCAAGAACAAGGCACAAATGAATCACAGGAGGAGACTCACTTGAGTTGGACCTCTTTCCTTTCCATTATGACCTGGTTGGGGTCCATATTCTTGGTAATTTCCTCTAAAGCATTTTCAGGGATCATGTCTAGAAGCCAAAGGGGAAATGGTTTCAATGTGTTTAGTTTCATTGTATTCTATTCATGAAGTAGTTGACATGAAATGAAATGTCTGAATGATAATGAGATTAGCTCATGACTCACGCTGGTGACTGACGATACAGTGTGCAGCCAATAGTTTCAAAAGAGGCACTTCAAACAGAGCTTGATGGAAAAGCAGCTCTCTGGCTGTGGGCCTCTTACTGGGGTCCACCTCCAGACACTTCTGAATAAACTCCTAAAACACACACACAGAGAAACATGACACTTCACATCACAATAACATATTATGCTAAAAAGTTGATTGGCTCTTGTAGACCGTCAACAATGGGGGGTGTGGTGAACAAATAACGGTTACCATATTTAACCATAAATTCTTAAAGGGAGGAGAAAAAAAGAAACATCCAATGCATCTAACTATTAAAAAAAGTGTGTATGCATTTTTTTGTTTTTGAAGGTATTTCTTCATTCATATTTTCTTCATATTTCAGCTATACTGCAACACTCAGAATCACTGACTGATATTTGTGATTGTTAATTAAATTTAGTTGGGTACATGCAACACATCATATACTAAGTGTGGGGGAAACCAACTGAATTTACTAATTATTTATCTTATTTGCAATCTGAAAAGCCTGTTGCAGATATGCATATTCAGATTCCACACGCATCTCATCTTACCAAATTTTTCAATTATTCAATTGTGAATAAAAACATAAAATAACTGTACAACTTACACTACCATTCAAAGGTTTGAGTCCATAAGATTGTTTTAAAGAAATTAAAGCTTTTATTCTGGAAGAATCCATTAAATGGATAAAAATAAAATAAAGACATTTATGATGTTTCAAAGGATTAACATTTCAAATAAATAGAGTTCTTTCGAACATTCTATTAATCAGAAAACACCAGAAAAGTTTTCAAAAAATATTTCTATAAAAATTCCAAAGTTTCCATAAAAATATATTTTTTTAATAACGATAATGATAAATGATTCTTGAGTAGCAAATCAGCATATTAGAATGAATTCTGAAGGATCATGTGACATTGAAGACTGGAGTAAAGGCTGCTGAAAATTTTTAAAATAGAAAAGTAGTTATTTTACATTGTATAATATTTCACAATATTACTATTTTTACTGTATCTTTGATCAAATAAATGCAGCCTTGCTGAGCATAAGTGACATATTTCAAAAATTTTACTGGACCCGTTTAAACGGTAGTGCATCTTTGAATGCAAATAATTTAAGTCCTGACAATCTATACTCACTCTCTGCAGTGGGTCCTCCAGAGACAGGATGGCACTATTAATGGCTTCTTGTGACACATATGAGGACTCTCCATTACTTTGGATTTCCAGCACAGCCATCTAAAACAGTGGGAGAAAAACCTGAATCACTGGTCTGGGCAGTCTGATACCCTGATGAATGATCCTCAGCTCAAAACAAACAGCACTCACCTCTAAGGCACACATTCCAAAGGAATAGATGTCCACAGCTGTAGTGACACTGGCAACAGCTGAAGTGGATGAGGGAAGAGGACAAATTGTACAAGGTAATTTTTTACACTGCACACTGAAACAAGACTGTACAATGGGTTTTAAAACCTAGTTTTACCTCCATACTCTGGAGCAAAGAAGTGCAAACTCTTCTGTTCCTCCCGACATGTTTTCACATGGTTATTAATGGTGTCTGGGGCCACTACAAAAAAAACAAAAACATCAGCAACAATAATACAATGTGTAACATTTAAACAGTCATACTCAATGTGCTTTAGCCCACCTGAGCCGATTTTGATGAGTCCATTGTGCTGTATGAAAATGGTGTCACAGGTCAGGTTCCCGTGGATAATGGCAGGTTCACATGAATGCAGATAGCTGAAGGAAGAATGGTGAGAAATGTGAGTGTAATAGGAGCTCTCCACAAGACTTATAGTGGAACATCAAAACAAAAAGAAATGGACAGCTAACATTCCAGGTGCCAATGAGGAATTTTGTTCAACATTTCCAATTATATCTCCACATTACTGGTAAACATCTGAGTATTTGAACACAAAATGAGAAAAATACACACACCTTAAGGCAGATAATATCTGAGTGCACCAGCGTTTCCATGCCTAGAAGAGTCCCAGAAAGAGTTAATGGCATCTGAGAAGACAAGTCTGCATCTGATATTATACTACAGCAGGTTATTTCATTAATCCCAACTAATACTACAGTCAGTTAAACTAAAACACAAGTAATAATATTACTAATATCTAGGGATGCACCAATCCTAATACTGAAAAACAGAGAATAAACAGGCAACAAATGCAACAAAAATGTAAAAGACTTAAAAGTATAAAACAAATGAAGCTAACTGATATGAATCACTGCATGTTAAAATAAAATAAATAATGCATTTTGTTTATGATGTCCTATATTTGACATTATTAATATTGTACCAGAAAGCAACTAGCACGCTCTCGCTAAAAAAATATCTCTCTGATCTGAGCCATACTGATAGGCAAAGTCAATCAAGACTAACATTTAGGCAAGCAATTTAAGACAAAAGATATGTATTAGTCTGCAGTGCATTATGTCTCAACAGCTCTTTTGTCTATTTGTCTGAACAGACAAAGAGCAGCAAAGTACCTTTTCATTCATGGTCTTGTGATTCTTCTTTGTCTTCTTTAGAAACTGCTTCAGGCTTCCAGAAGACATGTATTCTGTAATGAAAATAACCTGAAGGTGGTGACCAAAAAAAAAAAACATGATTAAAACCCTAACCCTAACTCCAAAAATGGGACATTTTTATTATTTTTGTTGTTGCGTTTCATACCCTAGTTCTGTTCTCCTTCACATCTGCCCAATACTTGTGAAACTTTACAATATTCAAATGTTCCAGCTGGATGAGGTTATCAAACACCGCTTTCACTTTTTCCTGAGAAATATAAAAAGAAAAGTAGATTAATTTAACCTTGAGGGAGCTGTTTGACAGAAATATGTAACACAACATTTAGATTTTTAGAGGAACAGGTTATTATAATAAAATACTGAACTCTAACTTTATTATTTTATCATGCAATAACAAACTAATTTAAACGATCAAGGAAAAAACTAGTCACATGTGCTTATGGGAAATGCAATCAGCAGCGTAGACAGCAAAGCCTGTCAAAACGCAACCTCTAAGTCTAAAATGACTTCTTGAATTCCACGATGAGTGTCTGTCAAACAGAGCGGAGAGCAGTATGTGGACGGGCCAAACAGATGGCTGTCCACCACTCTATGCCAGGCATTAATGAATCGGGTTTGATTAAACGCGCTTACAGGCAATGACAGAGTGAAGTATGCAATATTAAAAAGAGCAGAATGACCTTTTTAATATTTCAACACGCAAGAGATAAAACCATAACCACAGAGAATGTTTTTCTTACAATACTTTTCATAAGTAGCAGAAGGTTCAGAGCGATAATGCTGTTTCCATAAAGGCTTGGCAGCAAACAGGTCAGACTACTTTATGTAAGGAGCTTACACCCAAGAAATGAAGGCAAGCACACTCATTCTGTGAAGCAATCAAACTGTCCCAACACTCATAGTTAAATACTCATTGGTATTGCTAATTCACAGCTTAACATGCTAGTAAGCAAGAACACAGGAAGCAGTACAGTCGAATCTGTGACTATGGAGATAATAATCAACGGTGAACTTTCACACCGGAACACTCACCGATTATGCTTCCATCAGGTTTAAATAAACAAAGGTTTAGCAGGATATTTGAAATAAAGTGTTTTGTGTAACTAACAGCAAACTCTCAGTTCATTCATATCAGTAACAATTAAGATCCCTTAAAGTTAACATGAAATCAAAACTGACCCTGCATGTTCATTATAAAAGTTTTTTTGAAAGAAATCTCACCAAAGCTGCATATTTGATCAAAAACAGTAAAGAGCGTAACATTGTGAAACATTATTACAATTTATGTAATCTTCATCTGAAACAACTTTCCATCACAATGACATTATTTAGGTTATGCAAGCTATTGGATAATACTAAAACAGATATGAAGGTATGTTTTAGCATACTTCCATTCTGATACACAAAATCAAGTCATACTCCACATTTTTTCCTTGTTGAATATCATTGAAGTTTCAGCCATTATTTCAGATAGAAGTCAGTAGACTTCACAACTACCCATATCAATGCAAATCTTTCTCATAGAAACAACAAAGCAGGCACACAGTTAGTAGTTTTACCTCTTGTAGTTTGAAGTTCTTTCGTTCAGAAAACATGACCTCATTCCACACCACCTCCACACCTTCCTCTGTGTCCATGGCAAGATAAGCATTGTCGATACCTGGGACGTTGCGCTGGTTAACCTGTTGGGGGGGAGGGGGTTCAAAAATGAACACAGTCTTCATTTAGCAGAGGGGAACATTATCGGTGAATTATGGCTTAAATTTTGGTCCATTCTTTACACAAAGCTACTGATAAGACTTGGAATGTACCTCTTCTCTCCGTTTCTGCCAGCGTCCACAGGGGCTTTCCTCCAGAATCTCAGATTCATCTTCGCTCTCCTCCTCCTCATCCTCAGTTGCAGGTAGTGCAGGCTGTGTTACTGTGGACACCGGGGGAGACACAGATGAAACCGCCTGGCCGGTAGGTGGCGAGGCTGTGGACTCAGACTTCATTCCCATAGTGGATGCAAGGGCAGGTGTGGCGCTCTGCTTTCCTTCTTCTGACATTACTGACTGATAACTGACAGCGCTGTCCTGAACGGCCACAGGAAAATAAATCTGGCTGACTCACACCTCAAGGGCAGGAGGCAGAGAGCTGCAAAAGAGTATAAACTGTAAAATATTGCCTTTAATACATGAGTCACATTGTTACAGCTTCACATATTAATTCAGTCAAGAGTTTTTTTCCCCCTCCTTCAGCCAAATTCAATCAAAATTCAGGGTTTCTGCATTTTGACCAATTAATTTCCATAACCTTTGCAGTTTTAAGGATTTGAAAAAATATATTTTGTAGAGACTGCAATTACAAAGATCGCTACTATAATATTTATTTAATTTGTACATTTCTGTTTCTTTTTATTGTTTTGTAGATTTTCCTGACTGTCTTCTATGACAACTGATGAAGATGATTGTAAACAAAATACAAGTAAAGTGAGCCATGTAACTTACATGACACTTTTCAAGTTAAATGTTATGGTATCCCATGTAAATTATGGATTTTGAATGTGCCCAAATCTTAAACGAAAGGGAACCAGCAAACACATTCACTCTAAAACACACACAAAAAAAACTAACAACTTTAAATGAAGGATAAATCTAAACAGCAGAAACTGAACTGAATCAGCTCTTAAACTGTCAGCTCAGTGTCCCTGTGTCAGTTTCACTTAAAACTAAGGTAATTTTGAACTCCAAAACTGTACAAGACCGTAAGAATCGCTGAGGCATGAGTAGACACGCTGCTTTAGTAATGTTTACATCATTCCTCTCTCCTCACAGTCCTGTCCTCAATTCAACCAAGGCCTCAGTTTATGCTCAAGCATTCAAAACAGACTACAGCTGACTATCCCACCTCACTGATAAGAAAGAAATACAACACAACATACTTTTGTCTATCCTGAGATGAGCGGCGTCGCCAGCTCGCCGGAAGCAGCTAACGTTAGTCGGTGGTTGTTGAGGACACGGAGGAGGAAAATCCTCAGACGATGAGAAAAAATGATAAATCCTCAAACAATACGAGTCCGTGTAAGAGTGTAGCTGTCAAAGGGGAGAGTTAGTGGTCCACAGAAATTCCAGGATATGAAATGACTGTTCAATTTCCCCTTGGCCGACTCGCGAGTGAGAAGCTAGCAGCGCAGCTCCGCGGTCTCCGGAGCCTTCGCGATTATTATATTCGAGAAATAGATTTCCTTGGGCGATATGGTAAATGTTAAATAAAATAAGCAAAATATCAAAACTTCCCGTCCATTAAAGTCAGCTAAAACAGAAAGACAAATATTACTGGCTGTCAGATTTGATGCGTTTAGTCAGATAGCCGCGGATGCTAACTTACACTCCCGGATATTCGCGTTCTTCACTAAAGTCCTTACAGAACGATTTGTTTCTCCCGTAACACTTAAATATTACGACACGAATGGACTCAAGTTAAATAAACACCGATATCCCTGAAAAAGCTGCAGGTAAATGGCGACAGCTCCGAGTTTTGAGGTGCGCTGTTGCTTATTCCTGTATGAACTGCTCTGTCGTTTATTAAGCGAGTGTAAATCAGGACCAAAGTAACACAGCGCCATCTGCTGGATGACTTCATTCGGACACCGTGACAGCTCATGATTTAACCCCTCGATGACCGACAGGGAGAAATTATACACTTTTTATTATATTCGTTCATCCTTTGTATATGAATTCACTACATGTAGAGAGATGATTATATATGATGCGTTTATATATTGTATTATATATATTATAAATTATATGTTTGCCCCATTTACACTTACCTTACATAGACATAGGCCTATGATATGAGTGTTCAAAAGAAGACCTCTAAATACATTTAGTACATAATGCAACTTTCTGTCCTGTAGGCCACATTCATTCATTCATTCATTCATTCATTCATTTTCATTTGTCCAAACCACTTGTCTTCTGTAGGGTTGTGGTTATTTATTTATTTATATGATTGATGGTTTGCAAAATGACAAGAAGGTTTGTAGAGTAGTAGATATGGCAAATTTCTTTAGAAAAAAGAAACTTAAGATCGGACACACAAAGGCAAAGTCCACTGCCAGTTACTTTTTTCCATAAAAAGAGAGAGAAATGTATTATGTCTGAATATATAAAATGTACAGCATGTGTATATTAGGTATAGTAGATGTATTAGAAGTAAATAGAAGTTTTAAGTATACTTTTTTTTAAATGTCCATGATGGAGAATTTACTTTTTAACACCTGCGTGTTCATCTGTAAAGGTTTGTAGAAATATACATTCGGATGCTTTGTGGTATAGTGCTCCAGGGTTTTACTTTTCTAATCTTTGACTGGACCTCTGTAATTTCCATTATCTGCATTGGAAATGTCTGAGGTCACCAGCTGGGAATCATGCCCCCATTAGACAGGCAGAAAGAGAGAAACCCTCAGGTCCCTGTAGGAGGCCTATAAATAGAGTTAGCTTCTAAGAGGAACGGGGAAAAGTTGCAAGCACATATGAGCATGCGTGCATGTGTGTCCGAGTAGCATGTGTAGAGCATTTGCCTTAGTGTGAGTGTTTATTTGTGTACATGACCAGGGGTGTGCCTCCACCAGAATATAAAGGAACAGAGGAGTGAAATAAGGACTAAGAGAAAACTGAGCTACCTCAGATACTGATACTGAGCCCTATATTCAGCCCATCGGTGAGTGAGCTAATGTAAGGTGGCACTGTGCATGAGATCAGTTGCATTTGACCCTCTGTGGTACAGAGATGTATTTTGGATTAAATGATCATATCATTTCTGCAATTCTGCATGGGGATATTTTCTTCTTGGCTCATTGAAAATTAAAACATATTTTTATTTAATTTAATTGTAATTTAATTGAATGTAACCCTCCTATTGCGTTCGGGTCAGTTTTGACCCATGAAGCAGTACAAACAAATTAAAAAATAAATAAATACAATTTTTAGTATGAGGAAGAAAACTGCAAATGGATTAAAGCCATCAAAATAAAATTTTCCCCCCACAATTATTTTTTAAGAGATATAACAATTTAAACTAAATTGTTGCATCTTTTATGTTCAGGTCAGTTTTGACCCGGAAGTGAACTGTGGCTTTACACATCAAATTATGTTTTTTTAATTGAATTGAATGTAATTAATTTGAATAAATGAAATATTTTAATTTCATTTGTATTTTTAAAATATTATTTTATCAATTTTTATATTTTGTGAGAATGTCACTTTATTTCCTAACATGACCATCTCCATACATTTCTTCATACATGCATAAAAATAATGTGTTGATTAATAATTCATTGCAATGTTTCAGTTTTTCAGTTGGTCTTACATACCTAAGCAACAAGCAGTGGCTTTTGTTTGCAGTTTTTGTCTGAGTAGGCAGCATGAGATAAGATATTTTTGCAGACAAAAATGTTTGTGTAGTGTGTGTGTGTTGGGGACATGGCTGTGGTTTAACACGCTCTGGGGTCTCAAGCAGCTGGCTTGCCAAATCATGCATACTATGCTGTGCCAGTGCTTCATAAAGTAGAGCTCTACCTGATTATGGACTTGTGTCAATAAGTTTGATATGTGGCTATATTTTCTTATCATCGCTATTAAATAATATAAGCAAAGATGTTGAAGTAACATTTTGTTTTTAAAGTATAGACGGATTAAATGTGTCATGCATTTGCATTAGTGTCTTAAGTGGATATATGTGGTGTTTTTTGTCAGTCCATTTCATGTAACTTATAAAAAGTTTACCTATTTGTTTTGACTGATGTGTGACATATACATTTACTAGCTTCGCTTCATAATACTGCTTTCAAAGAATCAGGTTACTGGACATTTTGCTAGGTCGTTAAATACATTTTTGGATTGGAGCTTCAAAAAGTCAGTCACACATTTTCATATGTGTTTACTGACACTTTAAAAAATAATGAGAAGGACTTACATACTGTACATTATCTTGCCTTGACATCTTTTGAGATGTAGCTCATAAAAACGCGCTAGCAAAGTTCCGGTCAGCAAACTTTATGACCTAGGACAGCTGCTGAATTTCTATGGTGGTGCTGAGATCTTCACAGATATAGTCATATTCTTTTTCTGAAGCTTGTAGAAATCTAAAAATACAGTTATGGTGTAAAATATTTTTATAACCATTATAAATGTGGGTTTCTCATTCCTAAACAGGACATCTGTAGCAATCCACAGTTCATTCTTGGGGGAGCCAACAGGACAGATATCTGCCAAGGAGACCTGGGTATGAAAGCAAATATAGGACAATCTAAATACATAAAAATACATAATGTGTCTGGGGATGCACCAATATTCAAATTCAAGATGATATTGATAGCAAATAATAATTTTCTGTCATGGCATGATCAATGGGCAATATTAAAATTCTGTTTTGTCAGAAAATAAAATTACAATTCTATTTTGCCTATAAATCATTAAAAAACTAATATCAATCATTTTAAATGCTAAGTGAATTTGGGCACAGTATAAAAAGTAGATATCCATTTTGAAATTTGCTAAAGATTACTTACATTTAGATTACTAAATGTAATCTAACTACATAGCACCCGCTTGTGACCTGCATACACGAATGCCACCCATTTCCTTTTCTCTCAGCGTATCCAAATACACTGTTGGAAAATAGATCGGTTGCGTGACACAGAAGGCTTGAAGAAATGAATAAAGTTTCCGCTGTGGTATCCGTGTTGCGGTGCTGTGTTCCACAGAGGCATCCAGTGAATGCAAGACGCGTGCAGAGCAAAGGCGTTCATTTCTGCACCTGTACAGTGTACAGTATACCCAACGTTTATTCAGTTCAGCTTTTTGTTTAAACTTAAACCTTTAGATTTTTTTCCCATGAGCAATAATGCATTATTTAATTAATTAATTAATTAATTTTTACTTTGGTGAAGGTGAGTCCACTATTTTTAAAATACTGTACTGGGGCTGTACAAGTCATGCATAATGCATTATATTCCAAGCATAAAATATTTTTATATTGTACAAGACCTAACTGAAATGAAACAATAAATGAGACAATGTGGCAAAATATTCCAATATATAAAATATATATTTATGGAATTAATATATCAAAATATTTTTAGATATTTAATAATATTTGCATTTCTATGTTTCTATGTTCTATGCTAATATTGTATTTCTATTTTTATTTGTATGACTTAATAATGTTGATTAAAAGGTGGTGCAAACCCCTAAAACAATGGGTTACAGCAAATATATACATTTACATACCCTTACATTTCTATTTTGAAAATAAAGTGTCACCTATATTTAATAAAAATATGTGTTGTAATGCTATGTAGTGAAACATTAATTCTGTTGTTATATTAACATCTACAGGAGACTGCTGGCTGCTGGCTGCCATTACTTGCCTGACCCTGAATGATATAGTCCTGAAGAGGGTGGTTCCCCATGACCAGAGCTTCACTGAAAACTATGCTGGCATTTTCCATTTTCAGGTATGGACATCAAAACTGGACCATCCTGTACTTCAGATATAGTTTCTGGTATAAAAACTTGAAAAGAAGCACAAGCTCAACTATTTTAAACAGCTTTTGTCTATTCTTCTAGTTCTGGCGCTATGGGGAGTGGGTGGATGTGGTTGTGGATGATCGACTTCCTACATACAAAAACCAGTTGGTGTTTACTAGGTCTGGACAGAAGAATGAATTTTGGAGCGCTCTTCTGGAGAAGGCATATGCAAAGTAAGTTAAACATCTCATAATACGATGTCACTGTAGGCCTGTTTATGCTCTTCTAGATATGCTTTGCTTGTGTCAAAAATCAGTCCAAGGTGCTAAATGTGACCATTTGACTTCTGGATCCCAGGTTACATGGCACTTATGAGGCTTTAAAGGGAGGAAACTCACTGGAGGCCATGGAGGACTTCACTGGAGGAGTAACTGAGTTCTTTGAGATTACAGAGGCCCCGAAGGACCTGTACAACATCATGAGAAAGGCTCTGAAGAGAGGGTCCCTTATGAGCTGTGCCATAGATGTACGTATTCTAAATGTACTGGATGCTGTTCTGGTTAAAAACCAGCTGTTAAGTATATCTGATGCTTCTATGTGTGTGCAGTGTCTAAAATGAGCTTAAAAACTATTGAGCTTACTGTTACACACTCCTCCACTTGTCTATGTTTGCACATTTCAGATAGACTGTCAGTCTCTCTGCAGGTTACATCAATATGTCAATAGGTGGTAGCAAGTGTTTTCAGTGAGTCATTGAATCCTTCATTCAAATGATCCGTTCAAATAGAATGATTTATTTAAGAAGGAAACAAATGAATTGGCTGTATTAATTTGTTTGCAGAAGTAATTAGTTTGCAACCGTTAAAAAGTACTATGAATGTGTGAAGTGTGAATGTAATTCGGACATTATACATTCGTCATGTTGTCATTGTCATTTGACCTACCAGCGTCAGTCGCATTGCTTCAGTACCATTCACTGCTCTCCCATGGCCTCATGGGATAGTAAAGAGTCCATCAGATGTGCACTTCAGAGTCTCACCGCAAGTAGTAAATCTTTTCGTTTACTGTTTTATGAATACT